CGCGGGACCGGGCTGGCTGCGCGCGCGGAGACGGCGCTTCCTCCGCCCCGAGGGGCGGCTGCGCCGCGTCTCCAGCGGGCGCTCGGCTCACTTTGTTCGCGCACTCTAGTCTGGAGCATCTGCCGCCGCTGGGCTCGGCTGTGCTCGGCCCGGGCTCGGCCTGATCGTTGGATCACCTGCGCAGTTCCTCTTGTGATTCCGAGGTTCCGTCTCCTTGATGCTCGGGACTCTGCGTCTTAACAGTCTCCCCGAACGCGAACCAGCCTTTTTGAGAATGATCGGGTATGCGTCGGTGTAACAATTGCAGGTGTTTGGATGCCAGACGCTTCCTGGCAACAGCAGACCAGCGTGATTCTAATTTTTGCGGTCTTGTTCTTTTTGTACTTGGTTTTCGTCTAGGACAGGAATGCCCAGGCTTTGTTACAGGCACCGGAAGAGACGGAGCAGCGGACAAAACTGCCCGCTTGAAGCCTGTGTGGCTGTTAGTGACGGAGTCAGTAAAGGAGATAACTGAAATTGAGTATGTTAGTGACAAGGGCTGAAGAAAAAGTAGAAGCCATTGGGGACAGGGACATTAAACGTGTGTAGAGGAGGCCTGTGAAATCTTAGGTAGGGTGGCCAAGGAAAGCTTTCCTGAGAATTACTGCTTGGTGTTCGCTAAGTCAGTGCGGATTTATTTAGCAAGTCATCTGGTGATCGCCGAACCCCCTTGGCTCTGCTGGGGAACGAACCCGAGGTCTCGCACTGAACTATTTCCCCAGGCCTGTTTTTTGTTTTCTTTATTTGGAACAAGGGGTCACTAAATTGTCCAGGCTAGGCTTGAACTGTGGATCTTCTTGAGCCGTTCCTGTCCTGTGGGATGGGAAATGCGAAAGATCGTTTCAAGGGGATGTTTGTGGTCTGGATTCGGTTTGATGGTGTGGTATGAAATTTTAGCAGCTGGGGCAAGAACAGTTGCAAATGGAGAAGAGGTGTATGCGAGACAGGAATTACGTGATTTTGCCTTGATCTCTTGAACGCTCGTCTGCCTTGGGTCCTGCAGCTTGGCGTTTCTCCTGCTCCTCCTCCTTGTCTTGTCTGCTGGCTTTTCCTTTCAGGACTTTCTCTTCTTGACTGTTTTCTTCTCGCCTCCTCTGTCTAGCCGGCGCTGTGCTGCTCTCTTCTCTGTTTGCTGCCTCTGCCTCTGCCTCCAGCGTTTTTCTGTGGTAGTGGTAGGGTTCCATCCCATTATTTCTTCAGAGGGCAGCAGAAGAAAAGTAATTCTGTAAGAGGCCTGGCTACCAGGCAGGAAGTGCCAGCCGGGGACAGGAAAAACGCAGTGCTTGAAGGTACTTTGTTTTCTGTAGGTTCAGGTGCATGCCGACTCGGATGACTCAGAAGTGGAAAATGAAGCAAAAGATAATTTTCCGCCTCAGAAGAAGCCAGTTTGGGTGGATGAAGAAGATGAAGATGAGGAAATGTAAGTTACCTAACTTTTCTTCACAATCCTTGTGGATATTTTAAGCATCATTTTCTAGGCTCTTAAATCATTCTCTCTCCCGGTATGTGATCATGTGACGATCACAACATTCTAAAGCATGGAAAAGAGAAGATCTTTCATGATTGCTCCGCTGAGAGAAAAGCTGTCAGACGTGGGCATCCTTGTCTCCTTGGCAGTGTGGGCTGCGTGGCACACTCAGCTGTGGGCTGAGCATTGTTTGGAGTTAGACCTCAGCTTCCTTAATTGACCACTTTGAAACCAGTTGTGGACGAGTATGGCCGAGTATGGCGTCCAGCTGTTTTCATTTGTAAAGGGAGCAAAATAATCTAGCAGTAAATATATCAGAAGGTTGGGGCACTTTCAGTATGGGGTCTGAGACTGAGTAAAGTCTTTAGAAAGATAGCTAGCAGTGCCGTATGACACTGTACTCTGTGCTTAATGTTTTCACCATTTTTTAGATAGCTGGCTAGAGGGATCAACCATAATTTATGTAGCTATTGTTAGATTCATTTTTCTTTAAAATAAACTAATGTGATAACATCTTTTTGAATAACTTTTTTTTTTTTGGTTTTCAAATTAATCCTTTGAGAGAATTGTAAGTTAGAGCATCAATAATTGTGAGGCTCTTGATACATAGTGCCAGACTGCATCTACCAATTTCCCTTTCCCTGGAAAGATGATGTAGCAGTCCATTCTTAGATGTGTTCATTCATTTACGTGTTTACTTCAGACTGTGAGTTTGATGGTGGGAAATAATTTGTTTTATTTTTTATTTTAAAAATAAAAAGAGGAAAACATTAACAGGCAGAGAGCCTTTTACAAAATAGCAAAAGAACAGTACAGACAGTACACAATTACAAACAAAGTGGTAGGAAATTAACAATGCTTCTTGTGTTACATATTGATATTTTCAAAGTGGTTTCTCATGAAAACATAGAGACATGCAATATTGATCAGTCAAGGACTCATTGACAGTTTCTTTCAGCAAAGAAATAGAAGACAGTAGAACAACTATGTTAACTATCCTGTATATACATACATACAAAATTCCTCTTTTTGGTGGGAAATAATTTGAATTGAGAAAACATTATTAGTACTTCATACTTCGTATAAGTCTTCTCTGTTAAGCATTTGTTTATCAGAAACTTTTTAAATTTAGTATGTCAAATTTTTTACATATTAAAAATTTTCAGATCATTGTGTGTCATTTAATGTAAGTTTCCCCCAGCTTTCTGTGCATAGTTTTAAATTTTAGATAGTTAAATCTGTGAATCTTTTCCTTCACTTTTAGTGTTCTTAAGAGTAAAATGTTCTTTATCTGAGAGACAAATGCAGTGGACCCTTGAGTTACAAATTCAGTTCATTCCCCAGGGCTGGTTGTGACTCATGTTGTCAGCTGAAGGCTCAGGCTCCTCTACACAGTCTTTAAAGTCTCTTTCCTGTATACAGGCGTATCTCAATGTCCTTAGAGAGACATTGGCCCGGGATTTCTCAGTTAACTCTGCAGGAATGGATGTTGTAACGTTCCTTCCAGAACTTTTTAGGGGTTATATCTGTATGTATGCACTTGGGCCTTAACTCAAGACTTTGGTTGTAAGTTAAAACTAAAATTCAGGTCAGAACCCAAGTTGTTCATATGTCAAGCTGTTCATAACTTGAGGGTCCACTGTGTTTACCTTTATTTTTCCTTCATAGTATTTTAAGGTTTGCGCTTTTTATGTGTAATTCTTTGAGTTACCTGAGATTTATTTTGAAGAATGGTATAAGGTGTCCATGTCTAGATGAATCATGAGGAGTTTTCCGAAATAATTAGCTCTCTAATGGATAAACTCCATTGCTGGAGGAATGGAGAATACGCATTTGTAATGTTCCATCTTACCAGTGTTGACCTGTATTCAGTAATGCATTGTCAAAATTCTAAAGGCAGCACCAATTTATGATGACTCTAAAAATCATTCAGTATATGTTGTTTTGTATTTTACAGGGTCGACATGAAGAACAACCGGTTTCGGAAAGACATGATGAAAAATACCAGTGAAAGTAAACTCTCAAAAGGGAGGCTGCAGAAGAGACTTAAAGAAGAGTGAGTGTCCTTGTTTGCATGAGTTGCTAGGAGATGCATTCTGGCGGTGGATGTGGGTTTGTGTCATCTTTGGTGGCTGCAGGCAACTTCTTGGTCTCATTTCTCATTTGAGACAGCAGGGGCATTGGTATGGGGCGCAGTGGCTGCATGGCAATAGTTGGGGAGCAGCAAATGCAGAGAAAATTTGAAAAAAGGAAACAAAACCCTTGGAATGCCACCACCCAAATACAGTAATGCTATGATTGGGTATATTAGCATATTATATATAGTATGCTGTCTCTTTTTATGCAATTTTATAATACGTAAATTTTCAAAAATTTAAATACCTCCACCAGGGTTCAGGGTTTTTTTTAAAATCATTCTGCCGTATTTTGTTTCTGTATTTGGGTGCTGTGTGTTTTCCAGTCTGTTTGAAACAAGCTAATGGGAAGTGACACTGTGCCCCTGAATTTCTCACTGTGCATCACCTAAGCTCACTAAGGGTTCCTTCCATACTCGCAGTATCATCATCTGACTAGCTTACTAGCCAGTGGCCAGTCAGCATTATTTTCAGTGGTTCTCATAAGATTCATACTTGATATTTACATGTGATATTTCTTAAATCTCGTTCAATCCAGTATACTCATCTTCTAGCCTTTTTTCCCCATGCAGTGGTGTTTTGAAAGGTTCAGGCCTATGGTCTTAAAGAATGTCCTCCCATATGCTAAAATTTTCTGACTTTTTGAGGTGAAATTCACATAAACTTAACAATTATTATTTTTTGGTTTTTTGAGTCAGAGTCTTACTGTGTAGTTTAGGCTGACCTTGAACTCACTTTGTAGCTCAAGGTGGCCTTGAACACAAAATGATCCTTCTGCGTCAGCCTCCTGAGCGTTGGGATTACCGGTGTGCCCTACCACGCCCAGAAATTTTCACAATTTTAAGGTGTTACAATTTAGCAGCACTTAGTACCTTCGGTGTTGTGCAGTGACCTCTTCAGTCTAATTTGAAAACATTTTAAGCACCACAAAAGGAGATTCTGTACTCACTTTTCTTTGTCTTCACCTCCAATCTGATTAATTTTGCATTGTGGTACTCCTGTATCATCTGTCTTTTCTTTTTCTTTTCTTTTTTGATACAGGGTCTTGCTGTGTAGTTCAGGCCTCCAACTTGTGGCCATCTTCTTGCCTCCGTTTCCCAAGTGCTGGACCTTTTCCAGCCATCTGTGTTTCTTAGGGGCTGAGAAGATGAAACATTTATGTCGAGCATCTGTTAAGATGATGTGTACTGTCACATCTTAGAAGGCACAGTGTAGGATTCCCAGCCATTAGTGATACAAAATGTGACCACTGAGGGTTGCGAACCACCAGAGAGCTATTTTGAAAGTCACCTACCCTTCGCAATTCATAAACTGTATGAAGTTCTTGAGCAGTGTGTAAACAACCTTCCCCTAAGAAGCTTTTAGGGTTGCAGAATGGTGTTATTTTTCTGGTTCTGTTGTTGAAATCCCCATGCATAGATGATTTACAGAAGCCTAAAAATTTACTGAACAGTCTCAGAGGAATTAGAGAAGGAGGGTCATGAGATTCGGGGTTGGGGTTTGTCATGGGGTATATTTGGGTGGAACTCAATAGTTAGAGCTTTGGGCAAGGTTTGGCCAGAATTTTGAAGCCAGGCAGGTTGCTGTAATGGCTACCTTTGGAACAGAAGTTTGCACAGTTGCTGTGCTGCTGTGTTGTGTTCGATGTGTGGGTTTATGAGCTGGTTAAACACTTGGAGCTTCCATGGTTTGTCTTGCATGTTATGCTTTGTTCAGTTTGTTTTCCAAGTCAGAGTGTACTTTATTTGCAAGTCAAAGTTTTTGTTCCCATTCTATATTTGATGATGGATATTCTATAGGAGAGTTTTTTTTCCCCGCTTGGATTTCACCAACACTTTTTTTGGATTCTTTGGTTTTTACTTTTTCAGTGTGTTAAAATATAGCTATGATTCTTGCTCAGTTGTCCCTTCTAGCTGGCTCCTGTGTTTGTGTGTCTTTCTGGCTTCCTTTGCCAGGAACCCTAGTTCCTTTTAGTGGGAAAATCTTAGAGCGTGGTTGGGTTACTGTTATAAAAATTTTATCCTTTTGGGCTCTTTAAAAGTTGAATAGACTTAGGAAACGTGCCTATTTTAAAAGAATCATATTTTTGTTTATACTTCTAATCAAACTTAAACTTTTTTTTAATGTTTTAAAATGTTTGTTTTTCTACATTTGTAGAGATTCATGTCACTATTATCCCTTTTTTCCTTTTCCTTGGTGTTGGCAGTTGAACTCAGAGCCTCATTTTTTTAAAAAGTAGGTTTATTGAAGGCTAATTTATGCACAGTGAAAGCTCCCTTTTAAGTGTCACTGCATTAATGTTGCGTACATAGAGTCAGTAACACCATTATCAAGATAGGGGAGTCACCTGCCATTATTGTACTTTTGAAAGCGTAAGGGGCTGGTGATGTAGCTCAGGGGCACAAGCGCCTGCCTGGCAAGGACAAGGTCCTGAGTTCGATTCCCATTACAAAAAACAAAGTGTAGTATATCCCTTTTGCCTTTTTTTTGTGTGTGTGTTATCTCTTTTGTCTTTTTGAGACAGGGTTTCACTATGCAGTTCAGGCCTTGAACTCACTTTGTAGCTCAGGCTGGCCTCAAACTTGAGGCAGTCCTCCTGCTTCAGCCTCCCAAGTGCTGGGAACCATCATGCCTGGCCATTATACGCCTTTTGTAGTCCGCAGTCTTCTACTTCTACGCCTTTTAACCTCTGACAAGCACTGATCTGTTTCCTGTTCTTACAGACTCGCTTTTTACAGAATGTTGTATAAACAGAATCATACAGTATGTAGTCTTTGTATCTGTTACACCTATTTGGTGACTTTATTATTTCAGGTGTATTTTTCAGCCTTAAAAGATCTTTGCAGCTTGAAACATTTTTGTGTTAATTTCCCTGTTTATTATGCCCATACTACCTTTAAGTATTTAGCTATTTTTGTTAGTTAGCTATTGTTTGTTAGCTATTTTAAAGTTCTTGTATGCTAATCTGTCATGTTTGTAATTTCTCTTATTATTTACTGGCTTTTCTTCAGTTACAGGTTCATATTTTTCCACGTAGATGCGTGTCTAGGAATTTGATCAAATTCTGGGGAATGTTCCTCATTTTTTGTCTGGCAGTCAGTCGACTTGAATGTCAGTTTGGTTCCTTGAAGACGGGTTCGATAGCAGGTCTTTAGTACAGCACTTTAGGTGGACTTAGCTCCACTACTAAGTTCTGACTACTCTGGGGTCTCAGCTGATTGCTGAGTGTCTGGGCTTTGGTGTTGCGTCTGCTAGCTCCTTTCAGAGTTCTCTGCCCGACCTCAAGGAGTCTCATCCCAGGAACGTGTAGCGAAATGCTCAGCAGAATTGTCAATTTGATTCTCTACAGGTTCCGGAGCTCGCTGTCCCCCTTCTCTACAGTGTACCTTCTTTGAAGTCTGTTCTTTTTCTTGGTTGAGCATCCGGACTTTTTTATAAATGCTGTCAGGGAAAGTTCCTGATGGCGGTAGGGTACACCATGTTCATTTCCCTTCTCTCAGGGATGACAGTCCTGTGCTGTCTGTTGTCTAGTTTCTGAAAATAATTGTTTCATATGTTTTGTTCAGCTTTCTGGTTGTATATGGCTAGCGGTCTTAGTTTGGTAGGCTAGTTTGCACTGCTACATTAAAAATAGCTCTTTGCCCTCTTCAGCTGCCAGTCCTTTAGAAAACATCTGTCATATGCCCCTCCTCCCTTGGTGGTACTGGGTTCTGAACCTAGGCCTTGTGCATGCTAGGCAAGTGCTCTATCACTGAGCTGCATCCTGGCCCTGTTTGTTTTCAGACAGCGTCTTGCTGAGTTGCTCAGTCTGGCTTTGAACTTGGAATCCTCCTGGCTGAGCCTCCCAAGTAGCTGGGATTACAGGTGTGCATCACTATAACCACCTATCGTGCTTGTTTTAAAACTTTTTCCAAAGTGAAATACTCCCATTTTAGTCACATGATACATGGTGAAGTTCTGTATATTCTTACTAGTCTGGTTTTTTTTTTCAGATGTGTTCTGTTATGTATCGTGTATGTTATGGCATTGGGTTATAACTATAGGGACTTCTTTATTTAGTCCTGACGTCTGAGATGTGTTAATGTGTGCAAATAAGACAGCCATGGAACTAGATGTAAACTAAGAGATACGTGTCCAGGTGTCCTGTGTCTGAGGCAGGTGGAGGTGGCAGAAGTGTGTGGAGGTGTCTAGCATAGGCTGTATGAGATTAGTCCATGTGAGTCAAGGTAATTTCTGTTATCTGGAAGAGGTTCTGTTCATATTCTGAAGGGTACTCTAACCTGTTTTTAAATGTATGGCACGCTGTGAGCATACAGTGATTATCATAACTTTTTAAAAAAATGTTTTTGCTTAGATTCCAGCATGCCATGGGGGGAGTACCTGCCTGGGCAGAGACAAGGAAGCGGAAAACATCTTCAGATGGTGAGTATTGGTGGCTCAGATGTTTAAGTTAGTAAATGTGTCCCCTTGCATGTTCTTTGAGTTTTCTTAGGCTCCTTAAAACTTAGTGTTTGAAGTTTTAAATTTATTGTTTTTCTTTTTTTTTTGGTACCAGGAACGGAACCTCATGCTTGCCAGGCAGGCACTGTGCCGCTGAGCTATATCTCCAACCCTCAAGTGTTTTTTTTTTTTTTTTTTTGTCTTTTTCTTTGTCTTTTTGAGACAGGGTCTCAATATGCAGGTCGGGCTGGCCTTGAGCTCACTTTGTAGTGCAGACTGGTCTCCAACTTGGAACAATCCTCATGCCTCAGCCTGTGAGTGCTGGGATTACAGGCAGGCGCCACCATGCCCGGCGGGCTCAAGTGTTTTTTTTAAAAAATTCGGTTTACCATTTCTCTGAGGGAAGCTTTTTAAATAATGAATGGCTTGTTTAATACCAATTGAGCATATCTAACCCAACATGTGAAATGTTCCAGTTCCTGAAACTGTTTGAGCACCAGCATGACACTGGAAGTGAAAAATTATACTTTGTGAAATGTTGTTTCATGCACAAAATTATTATTATATTATTCCTATTCTTAATGGAGTTTTTTGAGATGAGGTCTCACTGTAAGGCCCAGGATGGCCTCAAACTTTTGATCCTCTTGGCTCAGCCTTTGAGTAGCTTTCAGACCTTGGGCCGTGAGCCTGCCCTCCTGTGTGAAGTGTAATTTAGCTATTTTAGAATGCTGCATTTATAGAGCCACAACATTTTAGATCCATGTGATTATAGATAAGGTCCTGTTGACACAGAAAACCCCCAGCTCTAGGGGCTTACTCATATAGAAGTTACTTTCTTGTTCATGTACATTGGGGTGGTGAGAAGGTGATACTTTACTTCAGAGACCCAAGTTGGCAAGGGTCTGCTATCCCTGGGTTGGGTCTTTCAAAGTTGCCCAAGGTGTTGACGTCAGTTGGCTTGTAGGAGAAGAGCGGGACTTACCCAGAGGGAGTTTTTATGGGCCTCACCTGGCAGTGGTGTATGGTACTTTAGCCTCTGTCTTATTGGGCAGAACTCAGTCAAGAGCCGACATTAACTATGGGAGCTGCTGGGAAGTATAGTTTGGCTTTGTGCCCAGGAGATAAAGGAAATGGCTAAGTCAGCACTTAGCCAGTCTGCTGACGTCTGGGATATGCTAGTCTGTATCTTCATTTGTGTGTGTGTAAGGTGTGGGTTTGGGATGGGGTCTTGCTATGCAGTTCAGGCTGGCTTTGAACTTACTGTGTAGCCCAGGCTGGCCTTGAACTTACAGAGATCCTTATGCCTCAGTTTCCTAAGTGCTGAGATTACAGGCATGCACCACTACGTCCACCTGTACCTTCATTTTTACAGATGAGAGAACTTTAGAGAGAGGGAGTGACTTGCCCAGAGTATACTGACAGGCAGAATGAAGATGAGAACCCACTTCACTGTTGCCTTCGATGAGTTTTTCATCTGTAAATATTTCATTGAGTTTCTTTTAGAGGGAAGTAATTCTGTTTTAAACAGAACCACAAAACTAGCATCGTATACCTCCAAAAATCAGCAGTAGGGATTATTTTGTTGTTGATGTTGTTTTAACTGACTGCCTGACATCTCCATCCCAGCCATTCTGGCTTGCTTATGTTCTCCTTAGGATTTGTGGTGCTTTTCAGCCTTGACTTGACATCTTTGCTAAGTTTGGAAATTTTTACTTTTATCCTGTCAAATATTGTTTCTCTTTTAGGCTTCCTTTCTTTCTAGGATACTGACTTACATGTTAAATATTTTTAATCTATGTTGTGCTTTCTTTTTTTTATCTGTATACTTCAGGCATTCTTTTCCTAATTCATTTTCTAGACCTCTGATCCTCTCTTCACCTAATATTGATATATTGTTAAAATCATCCATTGGGGCTAAATTTCAATCACTATTTTTTTTTTTTTTTTACTTTTTAGAATGTACATTTGGTACTTTTTCTATTCTGGCTCTTTGGTTCAATTCTGAATCTTGTGTTTCATTTTTCTTATACATAGTAAACAGTGTTATAAAAGTGTTTGTCTGATATAATCCCATTAGTCTTGTAGGGATTGTCTTATTTTTCCGTTTGGGTTTTAGTTATTTCATCAGTATCTGTCTGGTTTTATTTCATAAAGTGCTGGGCATTATATATGAAAAGTAATACAGATTAATTTTATCTAGGATGATGGTTTCTGTGTTTGTTCTTGGGTAGGGTGCTGGGCAGAGGCACTAAAATCCCATAGCATCTTCTTCCAGTGAGAAATCATAAAGATTCAGAGCTGGGTTTCAGTTCTTGGAAGATTTCTTTATATTTTGTCCTTAACCCTACCTGTAGCATTTTGCAATCCCAGTTCAAAGCTTGGTGGGCTTATGTGAGAAACTTAGGTGCTTGAGAAACTTAGATGCCTTTTAGTGTTGAATCTTCCTTAATAGTCTCATGAGTGTCTTACAAATCCTGCTCCGCTTCTCAGCTGCTGCTCCTAGAATCATCTGTCATGTCTGGGGGAGAAGGAGCCCTTTTATAAACTCTGAAGTCTTGATATGCAGTTTGCTGAATTGATCTTTCAGTCAGTTGATACTCTTTTTCATGTATTGTCAATCTCTTTGTCTAGCCTATTGGTAATTTTGCCATAATTATGAATTGGGCTCTTTTTAAATGAAGTAGCTGGCTTTGAGTTTTATTTCACTTCGTCTTTAGTCACCAACTGTGTATATGTTAGTCTCTCTTTCCAGAGTCAAGCTTTGATCTTCAACTTTATGTAATTGTTGTGCCATCTTCTTTCCTTTAAATACATTTTTTTGCTTTACTCTTACCAAAGGTTGGGAAGCTGAGAGGGGATTTGACATTGGAAATTTGGCTTTTTTTTTTTTTTTTTGAGACAGGGTCTCGCTATGCAGTTCAGGCTGGCCTTGAACTCACTTTGTAGCCCAGGCTGGTCTCAAACTCACAACGATCCTCCTGCCTCAGCCTTCCAAGTGCAGGGATTACAGGCCTGTGGCACCACGCCTGGCAACATTGGAAATTTGGAAGTTTGGGGTACGTAAAGGGGTATCTTCTTGATTCTAAAGATGAGCCTGTGGCTTTGTTTGACTTAGATGAAAGTGAAGAGGATGAAGATGATTTGTTACAAAGGACTGGGAATTTCTTATCCACGTCAGCTTCCCTTCCAAGAGGAATCTTAAAGGTGAGAACCAGTGAAGTTGGTGCCTATCCAGTTACTTCTGAAATCCCAATCTATTTCCCAGTTACAGATGTATGAATTTCTGATTTGTGTGGGGCTCAATGTATTTGCTGTTATTTTGCTTTAGTAAATACTTCACATTTCTCCTTTCTTTTGGAAAAATAATCAAGAAGTATTGTGTCCCCCGTTAATTCTAGGAATGATACTTGATTTCCCCTCATTTTCACTGGTGCCAGCCTTGCCCATGCCCCTGTTATCTCTCACCTGGCCTATTGTAGTGGCTCTGTAATTAGCACCCAAAGAGAGATTGTAGGAATAAAATAGCAGGTCAGGTCACTTTTCGTTACTTTTTAAAATCTTTCGAATTTGTCTTGTAGTCTGCAGTGTCTTTGATGATGTGGCTTCTAGCCGCGTCCTCCGCTTCATCTGACTTTTCTCGACTCGAGCTAAGCAGACCTTCTGTGTCTTGAACATGCTGGATCCTTTCTTGCCTTTGAACCTCTGCCCTTGCTCTTCCTTCTGCCTGTCTGTGCTTTAAGCACTGCTAGTGAGTAGCTCACTATTATTTTCCTGCTCAAAAGGCACCTTAGAAATGACTACATCTAAAGTGGTCCGTATTACCTGCTTTCTAACTCATCACTATGTCTAGCTGGTTCACTGTGGTAACCAAGTGCCCGCCCAGCACATTGCTTCACTTAAGTACTTGTCAAGTTGACAGATCTCTTTATGACAGATACTTTCCTCTTCTGTAAAATGGCATATGTATTTTGATGGGGCAGGAGAACTACTGTAGTAAATTACTAGGAGATAGTGATTGTCTCCCTCCTTCCTTCCCTTGCTTAAGTACATTTCTTTTAGTACCTCACAGGGTAAATTCACTGGCACTGAAAACGTGATTCACATAAAAATTTAACTTCAGTAGTTTCAAATAAAACATGCATATAATGCTTGCTTTGTTTTTAATTGAATTTTAATGTAGACAGAAAACCTGTAAAAACAAAAGAAATAACTGAAAATATTCCGAGGAATGCATGGTATCATCACTCTAAACTAGCAGTGGTATACTGTGGGAGGACATCAGCAACCTGTACCCTCCGTAGAGCTGTGGGGACAGCTACACAGTGCCTGTTGTACTTGGCTGTTGATGAAGAGATGCCAGAGTAAGAGTAGGATTTCTGCAGACTGAAAGTCTTCTGAGCTGGGTGGATCTTAGGGAAGTGACTATTCTGGTGCTTTAGGAATGCTTAATAAATTTAGACTTGAAGAGGCAGAGAGGACCTTAGTGGTGTAGTCCTTTCATTTGTGAGATGATAAATGTGGATTCTAGTGTTACAAAGGGACTTGCTAGCTGGTACCACAGCTGTACTCCTTTGTAGTTAATCATTCCATGTCTTCTGTTAGCATCCATAATATTTTTTTCTTTATGCTCTAAGTGAAGTTGATCCACTTGAACTGATCGACTTCTAACTTTGTTTTCCGTAGATGAAGAACTGCCAGAATGCTAATGCTGAGAGGCCTACCACTGCCCAGATCTCGTCGGTCCAGTTCCATCCCTGCGCCCAGGTTGTGATGGTTGCTGGCTTAGATAATGCCTTTTCACTGTTTCAGGTATGCATTTTTAAATGAAGACTTGCAGTGAAAAGTGTTTACTGCCAGAATAAGGGCTCGTGGAAATGACTGACAGAAACTATTTGTACTTTCTTATAGGTTGATGGCAAAACAAATCCTAAAATCCAGAGCATCTATTTGGAAAAGTTTCCAATCTTTAAAGCTTGTTTTAGTGCTAATGGAGAACAGGTTTTAGCCACAAGCATTCACAGCAAGGTTCTTTATGTCTATGATATGCTAGCTGGGAAGTTAATTCCTGTGCATCAAGTGAGAGGTAAGATTTCTGTTGAGCACATGCCTGTTATTCCCTGTTCTCCCAAGCCTGAGTTCATGACAGCGATGGTGAACCTTTAAGAGCTTTCACTGGTAACACACAGCCTGGTGCAGCACACGTGCCATAAGTTCGCCACCATCCGTTCATGTAGCTGTGCTTAGAACTACCTTTTTCACCCCAGAGGATTCTTAGTTACAACATTTGGAAGATGTGATCGTGTTGAATGAAATGTGTTTCAGTGAAAGCAGTGAATTTTCATACTGTGTGCTTATGGAAATATCTAATTTGCAAATACATATTTCCTCTTAGATCAGAGAAACAGTTCTACAGATACTTGGCTGTAAAATTAGCAGTTGAGGCAGCAGAAAGGGGATGAGCCACTGAGCTAGAAGACTTGAGTTCCACCTCCTTGGAGTGTTTTTCCTCTCTATTGGATACTTTCTAATTGTGGTGTTCTTTATAATAAACTGGCGGGCTCCCTGTTAACTGTGTGTGTCCGCGGAAGGGCACCCAGGGAGCGTAGCTCTCCCCATATTCCTGCTGGCAGGGGAGTGTGCGCGAGGCCAGCTGCAGAAGCACTGGTGCTGTCCATTTTCAGAGTTTCCAGTCTTCCCTTTCCTGTGTTCCCGCACATCTCTGATCATCTTTTGCAAGGAATTTCTTGGTTTATCAGATTGATGCAAATGGTGTATGAAGAATGGAGCATTAGTGCAAATGGTGCATTCTACTATCTGTTAGGTTTTCATAATCTGGATTTAGAGATGGTCTGTAGAAGGCTTAGCCAGCATTTTCCTGGAGGCGACAAGGCACTTACACTTTTCTGAGACCTTTTTGTCTAATCAGTATTTTCATTTAGCCACCTAAATTAAAAAAAAATTGTTTCTTTGAGTAGGCAGTACATTTACATGGTGCAAAAATCCCGTATGTATAGTTGGTGGGCGGTGAAAGGCTCTTTGCTCCTTGGCCACTGTCACCCTTTTTCTGGAGACAGCCAGTTGTATGCATTCTGTTTTTTTAAGTACAGGCTCTTGGTATGTAATTCAGGGTGGCCTTTAACTTGCTGGGTAGCCCAGGGTGGCTGGTCTTGAACTCGTGGCAGTCTCCCTGCCTCAGCCTCCTGAGTGCTGGGATTCCAGGCATGTTCCACCACAGCTGGTTTAAGTTCTACCTAATCTTAGGTCTCTTTTTCCATTAGGCAACTTTTTAGTGAGTTACTTGGCCCTCTGAATGCTCTGAAATAATCAGTGTGAACCTTTCAAGCGTGGAAAAAGACATGTCCCTTTGTGTGACTTGGTTATGTGAATACCATTTTGAGAAATTAATCTGTTCTTGAGTACACTGACACTGTTGTTTTTTTTTTAATCTATAAAGTTAATATATTTCTGTTCATGATAGGATGCCCAGTAAGTGCCAGCAAACGGTTTATACGTACTTTTAAATGGCTGTCTCAAGTGAAGGTGTGTTTCTCTTCCAGTAATGAGCTTTGTGACAAGAAGCATAACTTACCCTTTCGTTGATAGAGGCATGCTGTTACATTTGGGAAATTCGTTGATGTGTTCACTGTTTGGAGGGCTAGGTGTCTGGCCTGCAATTACAGTGGTGAATGCTGACCAACAAAGAATAAGAGGGTTGGTGTACTGGGCTCCTTCCTTCCCTCTCTGGCCCGGGGTTAGACCTAGGGCTTTCACACTGACTTCATCACTCACCTATGTTTGGTGCCAGAGATCAGATTTGCCCAGAGTCTCAGCCTGGGGCTTGTTTAAATTGTGCTATTCAGACATTTAAAAAGGTAAGAAGCTTAGTTGTTAAGAGTCTAGCTCTACTGAAAACCATATGAAATGTTTAATTGATTTATCTCTTTTCTTAGGTTTGAAAGAAAGAATAGTGAGGAGCTTTGAAGTCTCCCCAGATGGATCCTTCTTGCTCATCAACGGCATAGCTGGCTATTCTCATTTGCTGGCAATGAAGGTGACTTACTAGTTACTGCTTGTTCACCTCAAATTAGACCAAGGGTAGGGAGAGTCTTTTTATTTTGTCTTTTTGAGACAGGGTTTCTCTGCAGTTCAGGCTGGCCTTGAGCTCACTTTGTAGCCCAGGCTGGTCTCGAACTCGCAAAGATCCTCCTGCCTCAGCTTCCTGAGTGCCAGGATTACAGGTGTGCGCCACTGTGCCTGGCAGAGAGTCTTGAACCTTAAGTCAGTGTGTCCTTAAGGCTGTGTCTCAAGGGTTGGTGCTCACATGGGACTTCAGGAAGAGTGTGGGCAGGCAGAAGAAGCTTTCTAGTATGGAGCAATAGAGTCAAGTAGGTTGTGGAATGGAAAGAACTAGATTGTTTTGATTCTGCATGGTGTGATTCTTCCCGAGCCACCTAATAATTGACAAGTAATATTTGTTCTTCTAGACCAAGGAGCTGATTGGTAGTATGAAGATTAATGGAACGGTTTCAGCATCCGCATTCACTTCGGATAGTAAGAAAATATACACCTATTCTGGTAAGTGAATGACACAGGAGAAGCTTTGGGTGTGTGACTGTTTCAAATTTAACTAAAAGCTGCCTGTCAGTTTTCTTGTTTTAGTGAGAATATCAGATTTAGGTTTCTTTTTTTTTGTCTTTTTGAGACAGGGTCTCACTATGCAGTTCTGGCTGGCGTTGAACTCTTTGTAGCCCAGGCTGGCCTTGAGCTCACAGCAATCCTCCTGCCTCAGCCTCCCAAGAGCTGGGATTACAGGTGTGTGCCACCATGCCTGGCTTCAGTTTCCTTTTTTTTTTTTTTTCTGGTACCGGGAATTGAACTCACAATTGAACTCACCTTGCGCTTGCCAGGCGGGCGCTGTGCCGCCAAGCTAAATCCCCAGCCCCTAGTTTCATTTTTTAAGTTTTTTATTTGTTAGTTTTTGAGTGTTTCTAGCACCTTAATTAGTAATAACAAAAAACTGGAAACAATCCATTGTTCCAGAGGATCTGGCTGAACAAATGGCGATGTACTGGATGCAGTTTTCGAATTCATTTTGTTGCCATTTGTTTTCTCACTCATGAGTGGACACGAAAGGCTGTCTGTTGAATGTGCAGTGCTTAGCCTGCACTCCCACTGGCCTGGAAAGTTTTTTCAAGGAAATGGTTAAACAGTGAAATTCATTGAATTCTCGCTGGGAGAAGAGTCGTACATCTGGAGGAAGGGCAGACTTGAGAACAGTGTTCACGGGAGAGGAAGGGTGAATAGTTAGGGGCCATAATGCGAGCTGGAGGGTCATTACCAGGCCTGGCGAGTTGTGTGGGGCAGTGCTGACTGTTGGTCTGGAGTGCTGTAGGAGAGAGGAAGGCAGAAGGACTGACTGTGGCAGTTGGATGGCCATTCCATCATGGAAATAGATGTTGTCGCCTCATATTTCATGTATTCTTCTGTTTTGCCCACGTAATTCTCCTTTTCCTAAATTATTTGTACTTATTTTTCACATTTAGCTTTTATTATTTAAATGGCTCAGTAATAGAAACTGTACATGTATTAATTTTTTTTTTTTTTTGGTTTTTCTCCGGTACCAGGAACCGAACTCACGACCTTGCGCTTGCCAGGCAAGCGCTTTTGCCGCTGAGCTAAATCCCCAGCCCCTAATGTACATGTATTAATTAAACTATGTTCTTTATGGTCTGGATTAGTTCGTTCTTCACTTTCTCTTCCTTTATTATCATCAAAAAATTGGTGTCTGAGTCACCTAGCCTTGTGTATTAGGTACTCCAATGTCTGTGATGGTTTTTTTCCCTTTGCATTTTTATTTCAGTAATTTATGAGTAAACTATTGAAGCTTTTCCTAAAGCTTTTTCTAAAAAGCTCAACTCAGACTAAGACTTTGTGATTTCTTTCACTTTAAACCTATTGATGATGTTTTTAGTCACTAACAGATGCACTTTTCTATGTAGATGAGTGTATACAAGAAATACCCAGTTTTCTAGAAGGGAAAGGGTTATAATGAGTATTTGTAGTCTCTTGTACTAGTAAAGGGGACTGAGAATGGTCCATTCACTCGTGTTTCAGGTTTAAAGCAAAACTAACCAAACCTGCCTTTGGCTTTTTCCATCAGGGGATGGGGAAGTGTATGTCTGGGATGTGAACTCTAGGAAGTGCCTTACCCGATTTGCTGATGAAGGCAGTTTGCGTGGATTAAGCATTGCCACTTCGAGGAACGGACAGTACGTGGCCTGTGGGTGAGTAAACAGGCTTGTGAAGCAGAAGCACGAAAATGTCCCGGAATGGCAGTACTAGATGGTGCCTGAGGACTTGTTTACAGACAACTTGGTGATAGGAGAGCGATAAATCAGGAGAGCCTTGTGCTTTATATTTTCTTGATGCAGTTTTTTTAATAATGCCACCACTTTTTTCTTCGGTACCGGGAATCAAACTCTAGACCTTGTGCTTGCCAAGCAGGCGTTGTGCTGCTGAGCTACATCCTTGGCCATGCAGTGTTTAATAGTATCAACATAGTTTTTCAGCTCTGTAGCAAAGAAAATATTACACTACCTTAAATCATTGTATATTTTCCTAGACTTGAAATATCTGTTTGATCACATCTAATTTTCCTGTTTTTAGCTTCTCACCATTAATGAGGTGGTAGAATAAGTGAACTTCCGTTTTAAGTCTTAAAGATACTTATGGTAGTCTTTTGTCTCCCTATGTAGTATAAGCAAAAAAAACCTTTTTTTGTCAATATAACATTTGTAATGTTGTAGAAACTTAAAAATATTACCTCAGACACGCGTTCTTGTATTTATTACTGTTAGAAATGGTTATTCCACTGGGGGAAGGATGGTTTTATTCTGCTTGATTCAAAAATGCTGGGAGGGAGGAGGAAGCATTGGATACATAGTGGTAGTTCCATATTAATCTACCAACCCACAGTAATTCTGTAATTAGAAGAAGCATCTGTAATTCTATTAACTTGAAGTTTTTTTAAATGACTTTCTTAGAACAAACATGATTGAGCTGTAGAGATTCCAGTAGGGTCTTCCTTAGGGTGGGAAGTCAAGTGGGTCTTGCTGTCCAGAGATGTTACATATTCTCTATTTTGTTCATTCCTTCAAAGCTAGAATAGGGGAAACTGCTTGTAAAAATCCCCACTGTCATTTGGAAATTGGCAAGCAGCTGCCTTGGGTCCTGGGAGGAAAGGCAAGTAGAACTAGGCTGTGGAATTTAGAGACCAGGCCAGTATCTGTGGCTGTGCCTCAGGCAGTAGGATAGTGACAGGTAACTTGGTGTCCTAGAGCCCTGATGAAGGACCCGTGGTTACCCTTTGCCGAAACTGTAGGAGGATGTGTCTCAGCATGAGAGGAGCCTTTGGCAGAGTCGTGAGCGCTGTAGCAGCCATTCATGGTTAGCAGGTCTGGCAAGAAAGCTCCTTTAACATGTTCACAGCAGGGCTGCAGTCTGTAGTATGTCTCACTGCCGGGCTGCTTGAGCCACTGTAGTACGTGCATAACTGTCCCATCAAGTGGCTTTTTATTAATTTTATTGATGTAAAGACTGATAAAAATGATTAGATCCATTTGTACCACTAGTGGTCCTGGCTGCCTGATGAAACGTGCATATACCATGTGCTTCAAGCCTGTGGGAACACGTTAAAATGAAGACTGGTGTCTTACATAACTAACCGCTCCTGCCTCTGTGTGGGACAAGGATGACTGCACCAAATTACCTTTCACATTTGTGAAGTCAGCATACTTAATCTTTTTTCTGGTCCTTGCCTGCTCTTTTGTGTATCACTTTTTATTAATCCCCTTTGAAAGGCTCAAACAGGACAGAAACTAATACCAGCAGTTTAAACTCATTCAGTTTTAATTGCCCTTCAGCGTAATTCAATTCTGATGTGCTTACCCAAAGGCCATTGTTAAGTCTTCATTGTTAAACCTGTAAAGAAAGCCTTTATTCTTGGCAGAGGAGTTTGTGATGCTGTCAGGCAGGTGGGGAGAAGTGCTGGTGCTGGAGCAGCCAGGGCACAGGGAGGGGAGGCTGGCACCAAGTGGCACTGACAGTCTGCTCTGTGGAGACCTCTGTTCCTTGCACTGAGCTCCTTTGATCTGAAGACCTAGTATCCATCACCTCTTCTCGGCCTGTGTTCTGACACAGAATGGATGTTTTCTGTTTACAGTTCCACTTTGATGGGGAAATTGGGAAACCAGGAATATTGTAAATGGACAATTCTGTGAGTTTGCATTGTCATTTTTAGGGCTTTGGTTAATGTAAGGATTGCTGTACATGTTTAGAATGTGTCCACGTTAATCTGTGGCATGTTGGTGCAGCACATATTTGGGAACTCATTTTGGATTCGCCTTTTCTTTGCATTCTGCAGCACAGCTGAATGAGGCGTTGGCAGGGTCTTTACCCAAGCTTTTCCAGGTGCAGTGCTCCTTCCTCCAGGCAGAAGCTGAAGCTGAACTTTCACTGCAGCTTCAGTAAATGTTTTGTTTTGTGACTACTTTCTGGTCTAGAAGCCAGTCTGTAAAAGCTGAAAGTGCCTGAAGCAGCGTATGTGGATTGGAAGAGTCAGAGGTGGCACCTCTCTCCCATGGGTGTGACAGCCCTTATGTGCCCAGGCGCTCGTTACCTCCACAGGCAGCTCACCAACTTCAGGCAGCTGCAGAAGGGGACTGCCGAGTCTGTGCTTATTTTCCAAGGTGTAGACTATTAGTTGGGCTCCTGCTTGTGCTGGGGTTTTGCAAATTGGAAGGCACTTTTGGGGTCTTCGCATTTTGAGAACCTTAGGTCAAAGCCATGGAAATAACCTACTTTCGAATGAAGGTTTTTTCAAGTTTTGTTGACTAGTCTTCAAGATTTGTTGACGAGTCTTCATTAGCTTTTAAAAAATGCGTCAGTGGCAGATACCTTACTCATCACTTACCGTGTACCAAGCACTCTTATTTTTTGAGACAGATTCTTGTTATGTAGTCCAGGTTGGCCTTGAACTCACAGTGATTCTCCTGCGTGTTGGGATTACAGGTGTCCACCACCACACCCAACTATCTGAGCACTGTTTTAAATGCTTTTAAACTTCTCATTTCATATTCCATAACCTAGGAATTCTCTGTGTTTTGTAAGTGAGGAAGCGGAGCCAAGATTCCAACCCAGATAATCTGGTTCCAAAGCCCGAGCTCTTAACCATTGTAGTCACTGCTCTTGAAGGCATGCTTCTTTGTTTTTAAATATATAAATGACGCAGTTACAAAGAGTTTGTAAATGAAGGCAAGTCTTAGAAGTGAAGAAGGTTTGTGGTCTAGGTTGTCTTGCTATAAATCGTTTGTACCATCTGTTCCATAAGCCCTTTGGAAAGGCAGCTTCAACCATTCGTGCTTCAGCTTTTGTATAGCTTTACCTGCTTATGTTTTAACATCTCTAGATGTAGCTTCCATTGCTGTTTTTTCCCCCTTAAATGTGGATTTAAGGTCTTAGCTTAAAATTTGGCTTGAAGAATTTTGTCATTTTAGCAGCCTGTTTGGATTTGGAGAATATGGAAGGTAGTTTTCTGTACCTTCAAGTGAACAAACAAAAGTTTCTTTTTCATCTTTGCACTGTATTACGATATTTTCAGTATTAGTTTATTCTCATCATGATTGTCCTTTACCTCTTAGGTCTCTATTTGCTGGATATCTCTTTTTTAAAAATTTCTGGATGGTGCTTTAGTGAGTCTGCCATTAACAGCAGTTACTAGCCACATGTGTGTATTTAAAATGAAAAATTGTGTTTTAGTGACACTGACCATGTTTTAAGTGTTTGCTGGCACATGTGTCTGGTGGCTCCATATTGGACAGTACAGCTGGAGGGCACTTTTGTCCCCACAGATGTTTGTGTTGGGTAGTTGTACTCTCATCCATTCTACTGACACGGCAGCTGAGGTCTAAGGGTTAGGTTGTTTAAGTCTTCGCTCATTGGCTGTTAGTTATTAAGCTGGTAACTGGCAAACTGGAACTCTGTCCGTCTGTTTCCCAGTTCTCTTCTTTCCTAAGCAATACCCCTTCCCCCACATATTACTGTTTTATTTTAAAAGCATACTGAATAATTCAGGGCTATAGAAAAGCTATGAAATTCACTATGGCCCTTTAATTTTAGTGCTCTGATTTGGTTTCATTTTACTTCATCTAGAGAATCTTTCTGGAAATAAGGTGTTTTGTTTTTTTTTGAAACAGGGTCTTGCTATGCAGTTTAGGTTGGCCACAAACTCACTATGTAGCACAGGCTGGCCTTGAACTCACAGCGATGCTCCTGCCACCCAAATGCTGGGATTACAGGCGTGTGCCACTTAAGTTTTATAATGCAAGAAAAACCTGTTTTACTCAGTAATATGTTTTTGCTTTGTTTTACTCTTAGAACATTGACCCTTGAGCTAGGAATTGCAGGCTAGAGCCCTATAGCCATCTCATGGGTCGTGAACTTGCGAATCTCGGTGGATAGCAGTGGGGTTTCGCACTGTTGCTCAGGCTATTCCTCAACTCCTGGCTTTTGCCTTGGCCTCTGGAGTAGCTGGGACTGTGGGTGCATGGCACCATGCCAGCTTGTGTCTTAAACTCCTTTCTTTCTCTTTGAGAAATAGTTAATTTACGAGGACAGAACCCTCATAGATGGGATTAGGTCCTCTATAAAAGGGCTTGAGGAAAAGTTGGCTCTGTTCCTCCTTCCAGGGGAGAATGCAGCTAAAAGGCACCACCTTGAAACAGAGTGGTCTTCACCAGACCCTGAACCTGAACATACCTTGATCTGGGATTTCCTGCCTCCAAAACTGAGAAAAATTTCTAATGTGTATAAGTAAATACCCAGTCTCAGACATTTTGTTACAGCAGCAGAAATGGACCAAGACCAGTTTGAATGAAGAATCTGTGAGCTGTACATGGGGGACACATGTAGTTCAGCACTCGGCTGAGGCAGGGAGATCACAAATTGAACCCCAGCTTGGGCAGTTTAGGCACTTAGTGAAACCTTGTCTCAAAATTAAATAAATAAATGTATTTTTTAAAAAGACTGGAAATGTAGTTCAGTGTGAAGACCCTAGATTCAGTCCTCAGTATACCCCCAAAGAATCTGTGAATTATAAGTACCCTGTTCTTGATGCCTGTACCATTAGAAGGTCTGATCATTGAGCCCAAAAGCATTCATTTTTCATTCTTGTCTAGGATGATTCTGTTAATGATACGCTCACATTTGGTCATTAGGATTTACTTTTTAAGGGTTTGGATATACTTCACTGCTCAAGAACATTCAGGCAAACTTGGATGGTCACTTCCTACCCTTCCCTGTAAATACTCTAGTGAAAGTGAAGTAAGGTGTCTCCCTCTCCTACTGTTAGTCACACTGGCAAGTGCTCACAGTGTCAGAGAATACGGACAGAAAGGAGGCGCAGTCCATGGGGTAAGGTTAGTTACCTTCCACACAGTAGGGCATTAGTCTCTAGGCACTGAGAGTCGTGGTCCTGGTCTCTCCTGGTCACTTTTGCCTGCCAGGCCCTCAGTGGTGTCTGGAATAGAGTGGGCACTTGTTTTTTTCAAAGGAATGAGGATTGGAGATTCTGTGCTCTTAGATTTTCTAGCTAGACAGAGCTCAGCAAGACTGAAGTGGAGCTGATAGACTGTGTCTAGCTTTTGTCCTGCCATAAACACTGCCAGCCTAGGCTCTTTGTAACATGTGAGTCCCGCAGATACCAGTTTGTAGATGAAATCTGTATTTACGCAGGTTGTGAAAGTCCTTTTACTGGTTTTAAAATCTTTTTGTACCCTTTTCTTATTGCAGTTCTGGTTGTGGAGTGGTAAACATATACAATCAAGATTCTTGTCTCCAAGAAACAAACCCAAAGCCAATAAAAGCTATAATGAACTTGGTAACTGGTGTTACATCTCTGACCTTCAATTCTGCTACAGAAATTTTGGCAGTTGCTTCAGACAAAATGAAAGATGCTGTCAGATTGGTAATACCTTTTTTACTCTTTGTTTTTATCATTGAGAATTTTAAATTTTAACAATATAAAGTGATAACAGAAAGAGTGATTAGTTACTCAGTTTTCTTTACAGAAATTGTTAGTATTATGGCTCCTGGATATGATGAAATAATGTTTCATAGCCAGCAAATTTCTATTACGTTAGTTCTTTTGGGAAAGCTTTACTACACATTCTCAGTATTTCTTGAGTGGTGGTCTTCATTGTCAGAGGTTTCTTTCAGCATGTAAAGCAAGGGACATATTTAAGTTGAAGACTTCACTCCCAGGTTTCTTTCCTTACCTGCTTTTTAAAGACCTGTTGTTTTCATGGAGTAGAGGCAATTCTTAGATTTTAAAAGTCATAAAAATATTGCAGTTAAAATAGCTAGACAGTACTATGAATACCTGTGTCAGGAGTCCTCAGGAATTTCCCCACATTTGGTGATTTGCTAGAAATGAGGCTCAGTATGTGGTCATGTTCATGGCTAAGATTTATTGTAGTAAAAGATAGACAGCAAAAATGAGCAAAGGGAAAGGCCCATGGGGTGAGATCTTGAGGAAAGCAGATAGGGCCTTCCAGGAGTCCTCTCCTGGCACAGTCACATGGGATGCATCTAATTCCTCCAGCAGTGAAGCGTGATGACAGCGTCCTGTGTTCTCTACCAACGAAGCCTGTTTAGAGAGACTCAGTGCCCACGCTTTTGCGGGGTTCATTAGGTATCTTACCTCTGCCTACCATGTACCGAAATTCTAGAGTTGCAGAAGTAAAGGCAGGTGTGCAGCACAAGTGACATTGTTTGTGCAGATGGTTCAGGCCTGGTGAGCCAGCCTGTCCTTTAGGGGACATTTCGTAGCTATTGAGAGGACTGTACTAGCTCAGGTCCCAGTGACCATCCAAGGGCCATCCTTGCAAGCAAGGCCTCAGGCCAGTGTTAACTCTTTCCTGCCCAACCTCAGAGCGCAGCGTAAATGTCATCCAGCTCTCTGAAATGTCCTCAGACAGAACCCGTTTCTTCATTTAACAATTATTTGCTCTAGGTGCCAGGTATACAGATGGTGAAGAACTTCGAACAACAGTATTGTATTGTGCTGTGATGCGTATACTGCCACATTGTTTTACAGAAACTCATTCAACAGAAAGCCCGTTTACTCCATTTGGATGAACTTGGGTAATAGTGTGCAGTTTACAAAGATTAATATAGAATTCTTCAAAAAATTTTGGTACAAATAACAGTTCTTCAGAGGATTAACTTGTCCAAAGTCACCAGTTAGTAAAGGGCGTGATTGTGATTCTAGACTTTGCTCCCTTCCTAGCATTGCTGCGTAGGATTTTATATGGTAGGGGCACAGAGGAGGCTGAGCTCCTGCCCGTGTTATGTGGAGCTGTGTCGCCCTTGGCTGTGGCTTGCTTTGGGATTCTCTGTTTGATTTTGTAGAGAAAGGGGCATACTCGAAAAAGTTTGAAAACTACAGTGTTTGCATTTTGTTGCCTTTCTGTTCAATGAATCATTTGATAAATGAGAAGGCTCTAATTTAAGGCAGGTTTTTTTTCTTTGTTTTGGTACTAGGAGTCTAACTCGGGACCTTGCGTTTGCCAGGCAGGCACTTATGCTGCTGAGCTATATCCCTGGCCCTTAAGACAGTTTTAAAATCTGTGCTCCTCAAACGGGAGTGGTGGTGTGCTAGTACACATTAACCTTATGTCACTTTAATGGTAGTGAATTGTGTTTTAGAAAACCATGGGATCCATCTCCTGTTGATTTAATATATTCTGCAAGATGCACAGTAGTTAGTTCTGCCTAGTTTGCTTCAGTGATCATGACAGCCTTTATGTTTTTTTATTGTGGCAAAATCACACAAGGAATTCATTAGTAACAGCCAAATCACAGTTTTTAAATGGTAGTCAACCATAATATCTAATGGAAAGAAGCCAAGCATAGCAGCTTCAGAGTGTCTCGGTGAAAACAGTGTTGGTATCATTAAATGCAATTGCTTATAATGATCCAAACAGTTTTGTTATCCCAGCACAAGGCAGTGAATATAAATCTAAGCCACTGCATCAGTAGGAAACCCAGAAGTCAAATTGTTAGCGCATCTACAATCTTGGAAGCAGTAGAAAGTTGTGGAACATCTTATCTAATAAATCAAGGATGAATGAGCTTTAACTTGTTGAATTTTGATAAATGGATCCTTAACTGTCATGACAGAAATGGTGTTAGAAATAGAGGGAACTTTCTGAGTTAATGAACTTGGGTCCTTCTGGGATCTTTCTTAATAGTTTGGCCGTAACTTACAATACAAAGGCCACAAAGATTTCAGTGCAAGAGTTCTGACCTATAACAGAGTTCTGAGGTCATTGGTCTGTGGGCAGAGGCACTAAGGCAGAGTGAAGGCTCCCTGGGGAACTTTGCAGGTAGACACTATGGAGTATCTCAGGAGCACATTGTAAAATACCAGACCCCATATTCGAGGTCAGAGGTGGTAACATTGAAAAATGAGTTGTCGGTAAATTGGTGTTAATCCTGTTAGAGGGGACACACTGGTACCCTTCGAATGCATGGCTGCTGTGTATGGTTGTGTGGGTTATTTGTTGCATGAGGCCACCTCTTCTAAGGAGACAAATTTATACACATCAGTGATTTTACAGGTGTATTTTTTTTACCAGAGCGTTTCTGGTGCCCTGTTCTATTTATTTAGCTATCAGAATACACAGCTACCTTTGACAGAAATAGACTTTAAAAAGTTGCTATGTATATTATGCTTTTAATTTTGGTACTTTATTTGTGAAAAGCAGTTGATGGCATTATAAAGTTACATGAATCTAAATTAGGCTCTTTTGTCCTTAGGTTGTGAATTAAAATGGTGGTTTAATAGGAATTATGTTGGTTTTTTGGGGTGGTGGTGGTGTTCTTTTTGAGACAGGGTCTCTCCATGCAGTTCAGGCTCGCCTTGAGCTCACTTTGTAGCCCAGGCTGGTCTCGAACTCGCAATAGTCCTCCTGCCTCAGCCTCCTTAGTGCTGGGATTACAGGCATGCACCACCATGCCTGGCTGAATTATGTTTAAGGAGTCTTCTACACTTAGGGAGGGCTTGTCTCAGAATAAAATATAACAGGGGGTTAGAGATACAGCTTGCTGCAAAAGCCCCTGGGTTCAGTTCCCAGTATTGGGAAAAAGTAAAGATCGTACAGGGAGGGCACTGCTGCCTTCTCAGCTTGAGTGGTCAAGACCACTTCTCTGCCTTGCTGTGCAGACAGAACCTGCCTTCTGGCACAGCTGAAAATAATTGAGCATCGCTGAGAGCTTCTCCATAAACTTTATTTATTTTTTTTTTTTCAAATTTTTTTCATTAAATACTTTCTTGACAATGTGACCCATCGATGTACGTCAGAGGGAGTTGAGTCTAATAAGTGACTGACTGGAGTCTGTTGCATAGACACATGTATATATCAGTGGGTTTTACTCATTCCCTGTCTTTGAAAACCGCGTTGATTGGTGGTAAAGTCGCCTCTGAAAGTACGGAGAATGACAGACGGCATGATAAATGGCTGAATGGTAATGAAGCATTTGAATGTGAAGGTGTGTCCATCGGGAGAGCCAGAGAACGTTGGGAAGAGAGTTGTTACCATCGCAGTTTAGCCGTGGTAACTGCTCCCACACCTGGGCTTTACCCGCAGTTTCCTTTGCCTCGAGTGTTGGGCCCAGAAGCCAGGCCCGTGTACATGCCCTGAGAGTGCAGCAGCCCTGAGCAGCGCCCAGCCCCCCTGCGCCCACAGCAGCTGGGGTGCCCTCGCCCGTCTTCTGTGGGCCTGTTCTCAGAAGCAGGCTGAGGAGGGGTGACCAAGCTCCTCCTCCTGCACAGGTGAGCGTTCGGCTCTAAATCATCGTGTATTTGCTTGATGAATGAAGTTTTCATGGTTAAGGCGTCTTTGAAGAGAAATGGCAAAAGACAAAGTTTTTATCACACATGAAAGTATAAAAAGGAAATTTTATGAGATCAGAAGATGTGGTATTTTAATTAGTCTTCAGTTACATGAAGTTAAACTCTTCAGGCAAGAGGATCCCAAATTTGAGGCTACCCTAGGCAAATTGGCAAGACTCTCAGTAAAACAAACAAAAACTCTTATTAATCATGTTGAAGATATCTATTCCTTGTGATCAGAATTTCAGATTCTGTGCTGTGGTCGGTAAGCTAGAGCAGTGCTGGCTACCACCACTGACCTTTTGCTTTATTTGTTCCTTTGTTTGGTCAGCAGTGTCAGAATCTCCAGGCACCAAGATGGTTCCTTAACACTTTCTTCCCTGCCTTCCTCACCTGCTCAGTTAATAACACATGAAGATCAAATTTTAATTTTGGGCCACTTTGCCTTATTAAGAGAACAGTACTTTGCTGTACACTATCATCAAAATGAAATTTGGAGGGGCTGGGAATTTACCTCAGTGGCACAGCACCTGCCTGGCAAGTATGAGGTCGTGAGTTTGATTCCTGGTACCGGAAAAAAAACAAAAAAAAAAAAAAAAAAAAAGAAATTTTTGTACCAGTAAAGGATAGAATGAACGTTAAAATTTAAGAAAGATGAGCTTCATGTGCTATGCATACCTGTTATCCCAGCACTCGGGAGGCTGAGGCAGTAGGTTTACTATGGGTTCAAGGCCAGTTTGGACTACAGTTCTCACTATAGTGAGAACCTGTCTAAAAAAAAATCCAAAAAAAAAATGAGTTCCAAGTTTTTGTAACTTAAGACTTTATTATCTCCAACAGGTTCATCTTCCATCCTGTACAGTATTTTCTAACTTCCCAGTTATGAAAAAGAAGAGTATTTCTCATGTCCATTCCATGGATTTTTCTCCCAGAGGTGGCTACTTTGCTTTGGGTAATGAGAAAGGCAAGGCCCTGATGTATAGGTGGGTGTTACTTATGCTTAAAAGTTAGAGCTGCTTAATACACTCCTTTTGAAAATATTCAGATGTCCTGTGTATTCCCAGCTCCGCAGTTATGTGTACCATATACTGATTCAGTGATTGTAGAATATTCAGCCTGACTCCTCCTCATCATTTTTGCATTGTTTCTACCATAAAATGTCACTAGCAGAGAAGTTCACCTGAGGAATGAAAATACGTGTGTATCGCTTGTGTTGATGCTGTTGTTCCTCAGCAAACTGCAGTTGGAGAATGTCGGAAGGAGGAGCAGGAGCCACTGTAGTAATAATGCCATTTTCTTGGTGCTTTATGTTTAGGTTAACCTTTGGTGATTTGACAGTTTTCTGTTTACTAGATTTAGTGATTTTAAAAAACGAGATGTTTCTTTCTCTGAAACTCTAAGCTATAAATAAGGATGTTAACCACAAAGATAGCCAAGTTATGTGCTCTGTTCGTTTCTTTTCTGCACCCAGCACACTTGGCTGGAAGACAGGAACAAAATTATACCTAACTGCGTCATTGCTAGGAGATACAGGTGCCACAGTGGAGCTTCGGGGAGAACTATAGAACCTTGAGAAGAAACCTGTGACTGAAGTCACGATGCGCTTTCCTTGCTCGAGTTGGCTGTGGGCTCTACGTAGAACCTGTGTTTCTGTTTGCATATTTTAGGGAAGGCTGACAGGGTGGAAAAAGAACTGTAAATGGGTTTTGAGAGTATAGTGAGAAGCGAATGTAGCGAACAGTGTGGATTAAAATTATGTTTACTTTGAAAAGCAGATGAGTCTGAGCAGGATAATCCCATGGATCTTGTTTCAGATCAGTTTTGAAGTGAACATTCTGTTTCAGTAGAGAGTCTGTAAGAAGGTGCAGGTTCTCATTGCACTTAGAAATTCTCTTCCAAGCCCTTAGATATTTCACTGGAGCGTAGCTCTGTAGAATGAGACTGTTGGTAGATACATTAGTGAATTGGGTTACCAGCATGTCTGTGGGGTATGGCTGATCAGGTATTTCATAGCCTTCCATTTGATGCTTTGGAGCAAGCTTAATGATTTTTACTTGCAGTCTGGGACGTAGGATCCTCCAGAATGTCAGACTGGGGAGTCTGAGTCTGACTGTGCTGACAGTGAGTGTGAGCACGCTTCCCCACCCTGGGCTTCTAAGTGCCATTTCGTGATCTGATTGACTATACTGTGGGTAATTACAAGGCTGTGTTTTGCTTTTTCAGGTTGCACCATTACTCAGACTTCTGAAGAGATTATTTGAAGTAAGGAATTTTTTTTTTTATAAATTCTACAGGCTGTAAAGTGGTATGTTTGCTGTCTTTTGGTAGAGGTACCACATTAGCCCACCTTCGTTTGTCTGTTAGGTTGCTGCTTCATTTAGGGCAGTGAGGTAGAAGGGACTCTGTAGCTGAGCATGAACCTTCCCTGCAAATTTCTTATTCCAAATCACAACGATCTGACTTTCTCGTCCTGAGGTTGCATCTCTAATATTGCATTCAGTGATTGTCATCCAAATTGTAATTGTTGAACATACGTAATTCACAAGGGAGTAGGCCTTACAGAGAGATAGGCGTCCCAAGATGCACCTATAGCTCATATGAGTTTAAACCGTCCTACTGTGTATGTTTCCTGGGAGATCATGAAGTGGTTTGCCCTGTTGCACCAAGCTGGTTATTAGTTTTGCTGCCCAGTATTGGAAACGTAGGGCATGATTCTCCTCTGTAGCTCAGTCTTTGCCCTCATTCGGTGGTGGTTCTGAGGCTGACCTTGGCAGTTGGTCGGTTCATAGAGTGGACTGTTTGGTCTTCTCTTAGATTCCTGAATGTTAAGAAGTGCAGATAGATTTAATTAGGGAAAAGGATTTTTTAAAATAGAGAAATTTTTAGCAATGCTATATCGCACGGAGGGGAAAACAGTATAGCTGTCAAAACTACAAAACCAGCATGTATGCTTGATCACTAGTGGCTGTAAATAAATCAGATGCATAATTTCTTCTGTGTTTTCCTCAGATCCAGTTGGACGACAGAGGAAGCCTGTCCTGGTATTTCTTCTCAGAAGCTTTCTGGAATGTGATGATGTGTGGATAATGATTTGTGGAGCCAGCTGTGCTTAAGTTAACAGCATTGTCAATAAACACATCGGCTTTGGTTTGAAAATAAGTGTATGTGATTCTTTCCCCACTGCCTACGTACATGTACACACAGACACACAGACACACACACACCAATCAGAATGCTTTTTTCTTTTTTTATGATACTGAGAATTGGACCCTGGGGTGCTTTTACTACTCAGCCACAATTTTAGTTTTTTATTTTGAGACAAAGTCTTGGTAAGTTGTCCAGGTTGACCTCAAACTTGAAATCCTCCTGCCTCAGCCCCATTGAGTAGCTGGAGTTACAGGTGTGCTTCCCTTTTGAATGCTTAAGAGTAAAGATAAGAAATTGTGGCCAAAAATAATGTAGGCAGATATCCCCACCCTTCCCAGGTAACTGATTACTCTGCCCCTCCCAGCATAGATCACTGTACCGCAAGAGCTTTGGCGTTCGGGGGAGAGCTCTGGAGAGCTGGGAGGGCTCATCAGATGAGTTTGGAATTTCAGGTGGATTATTACTCAAACCATTTTCATTGTTGAGGAATGGGCATGTAAAAAACCTGGCTTTCTTGTCCTATTAGCCATTCTCTTCCTAGAAATGTTCATTATGCCAACTTTAAATGTTCTATGTAATTTGAATTCTGATATTGACATTTGGTTCCATAACTGCTTAATCATAAAATAATTTGTTACAGAATAGTTCCTATACTTCTTAGGAAAAATGGACATTTTCTCATGTATTTAAAAAGTATAGGGCTCACGAGGAGCCACGGGTGGGGAGTGCCGGTCTTCTGACCGGCAGCTCGCTCCCTGCCTCCTAGGCCCCCGGAGGGAGGGCCCCTGACGGGCGGGGAGCCCTGGTCTTCCAACTAGCACCTCGCTCCCTGCCTCCTAGGCCCCCGGAGGGAGGGCCCCCGGCACACAGGGAGCCACGGGCAAGGAGTGCTGGTCTTCCGGCTGGCTCACTTCCTGCCTCGTAGGCCCCCAGAGGGAGGGCCCCTGGAGCACGGGGAGCCATGTGGCGGAGAGTGCTGTGGTGCGCCGGCCTTCAGGCTGGCCGCCACTGCTCAATTGAGAACTATCATGACACAGAGAAACAATGACACAATTGGCCCACCATGCACTGGCTGCAGATGCCCACCCATGGACGTGTGTGAATCATTCAAACATGGAAAAACCCCTGGGAATACATGCTATACAATGGGCCACTCTTGCTCCTGCCATTGAGAACCAGAAAGGTCTAGAGTCAGCAGAGGAGCAGCTGCTGAACAAGGACTCGGAGAACATGAGAATGCAGACTAAGCCTGAGGGGTCAGAGGTCCTGTGGACTGGGGTCATGAGAGCCGCTCGGAAGCTGTAAACCAGGAGGACCTTGCACAATACATGCGGAGACTCCCTGGAAGCCATTCTTCCCCTGACAGTACAGGCTGTGGTGGAGCCCCAGAGAAGTCTGCAACAGGATTCCTGCTGCCTGTGCTGACAGTTGGGGAGAGGACACTAACTGCTTGTGGGGTCCCAATGCGATGGGAGGCTGGAGAGAAAACACTACAAAAAATGGCTTTGGCCCCAGATGGCTCACTTGATTTTTGACAACCCTTAGGCTGTAACTACTTGTTAGATCCTTCTTGCGTATCTCAGTCTTCCTGAGAAACCACTTCTAAGATACCACCATGTATTACAGCAGTCATTGATATTTTCCTACTAATCTATTCATAACTCTGTAATGTTTGTATTGTTCCTAACCTATTTCATAAATGGATCCATGTTTATTATGTGTTTCCTGCAACAACCATTGAGAATAATTAATGATTATTCAATAGGTCACTCATGTATAGTTCTATTTATTTTCTTTCGAAGATACCTAAGTAGAGTACAACTATTGATAATCTCCTACCTCTTTTGTCTGTAACTCACTATTATTTGTCTATTTGTTTTCCTGAGAAACTATCTTGTAGATAACAATATGTAAAACAGTAACCATTGATAATTTCCTACCACTTTGTCTGTAATTTGGTAAGCCCCTCCCCCTATTATTGTTATCCTTCTCTTACTCTTTAAAATTAAAAAAAAAAAAGTATAAAAGGGGTGGTGGTGTAAGTATTAAACAGGTCTGAGCCTTCAACCCAGGGAAGTGGGTGGAGGAAATCTTCGCAGTGACAAAAATGGCTCAGCTCCACGCGGTCACAGGTACCTGCTGCGTGTGTTTGGCAAAGGTGGGAGAGGACCTCCGTCTTTAGGCCCTTCAAGGTCTGTTGCTAAAGGACCTAATGGTTGGGTCCCAGCTCCTTTCTTAACATTCTGCGTGGAGATGAACTACTGCTGCCTGGCTGTGGAGAGTCCTTCCTCTGCCTCTTTTCCCATAGCATGGCCACAGTAAACCTGATTAATGCTAAAACTGAAGATTCCTGAAACCAGTTGGGTGAGTGCTGTTTCTCTTTTGAGCTCCTAGAGGGCAGCGTTAGATTACAGTGGGAGCAGCTTCAGGCAAGGCTTTGTAGCCTTTTGCTGTGGTGGAGTCTTTACTCAGCTAAATCATCGCTTGTTTCAGAGATGGACACCAAGCCTCCTATGTGCTGATTTTGCATATGATTTCCAGTTTCCAGGAGTGTGAAGATCTACAGGAACTGCCAGGCGTGGTGCTCCTGAGGCAGGAGGATTAAGGGTACAAAGTGAGACCAAAAAAAAAAAAAAAAAAAGACTTACAGAGACTTAAGAGAAAAGGGTGGAAACAGTGTCAAATGTAACTGTGTTAAAAATCTCTAGATCATTATTACATTCTGTTGGAGGTAAATAATAGAAGAGGACCAAACTAGAGGAGGGGGGGTTATAAAATAAGACGTGTTACTTACACGTGCCCACTTCACACGATGCGTGTGATCATTAGGCGCTGCAAACATTACAGAAACGTTTTTAAAAACTATTTTCCCCCTCAGAAGGGGATTAGAATGAGGCTGTCATTGCTGCTTACAGCCTGTGCCAAGCTGATCTTTCAAGGAGGTTACAGCCTCAGCCACGCATTTCACGTGATTCTCCGTGGACGGTGGATGGGGCTCGTACCCGTTGGGAGGGAGCCATCTTGAGCTGTGAGCTGGCGTTTTGCCGCTCAGAGCCTCAGGATGTACGTGGGTGTACTTAGGGATGCATCAACAAGCTGAAGTCTTCGATGTAGTTCATCTCTATGAATATTGGATGAACTGGGGAATTGCAGGGCTTCAGTTTTCTCTGAACAAATTACAGGCCAACAGGCATTTGCCTTCCTGGATGCTGAGAGTGTGGCGGGAAAGTGCCTGTGTGCTCTTGGTGATGCTGTGTAACCCTTTCTGAGCTGCACAGAGTGAAGTGACCACCTGCAGGGCCGTGACCTGCGTCTGTGCACTTCGCTGTGACCTGCGTTTGTGCACTTTGCTTTGGGGAGGGGTGAAGGCAAGCAGACAAAGGTTCGTCACCTTCCAGGGACTCAGGCTACTTGGAGTTGTACTCGAATACATTTCACTTCATCACCTGAGGAATGAAAAGATTGATTATTCTGTTGCTGCTCTTAACACTTTTACAGGCCGTGTGGTGGATTGAGCCCAGGGGGCCGCTCAAGTGCCCTTCCACTGAGCCACACCCCTGCCCCATTCTGTCACCCTAAAGGGAGGCAAAGGAGGCTGGCACAGGACGGGTGGACGGGGGAGGTGACAAGAGGACAGCACTTCCGAGCCCTGGAGCCGTGCCTGTGCTCACCTCACCTTTTTCTTAGGGCTCCTCTGAAGGACAGTAGTACAGTACTCCCCTCCCGCAGGGAAGTAGGGTGAGGTTTCAGGAGGCTGGATGTCCAGGACCTAAAGCCATCATGTATGCCGCGATCTGTGGTCCTTTGAATGGGGAAGGCATGGATCGTGGGGATAGTTTCGTTTCATAATGTAGACACTTTCATAGGTTGTATAGATAACATATGCAGATACCTCTGGGTGGATTCAGTGTACCTTGGGGAAGGGCCACTGACCTCTCTGCCAGGCTACTGCTGCACCGAGTGGCATCCCCGTCACCCCTCCTGTTTCCTGAACTCTCTTACCTTGTTAACAGCTACGGCGTTGGGGAGGTCATGGAAACTGGGTACCTAAGACCACCTTTAATCAGGTTTCTCTCTCCACCATCCAGGCTAATTACCGTCCTCTACCCTCCTGCCACAGCCCGGCTCTCGCCCGTTCTCACTTGGTAATCCTCCAGCAGGGCTCTTCCTAGTTCATGCTTTTCTCTTGCACCACTGTGTTGCAGCCAGAGGGGTTTTGTTTGTTTATTTCAAGTTTATTGGGGAAAACTTCACATAGGAATGCTGAGGGACGGGTATAGTCCGCGTTGCTCAGCTTGAACAGTCACCAGCTCATGGGGATCTCTGGCCCCACCTCCGAACTCTGGAGAGGTTAAAGAAAAGGCAAGTTGTATCTGTCCATCAGTAAATAAAAGATTTTTAAAAAATACAAACCTCAACATATTGCTCTTGCTGAAAGTCCTTCAATACCTCATCTCTCCCCAAATCTCTTCAGCTTTTCTATAGAGAAGACACAAAAATAGACCTGTAAGTTGTAAGACAGCTTAGAATAGTGCCGGGTCCAGAGGAAGTTCCCAGTGAATGTTCGCTCTCATCATTACTATTGGGACCAAGCCAGGTACAAAAAGGTGCTCGAGCTCTTCAGCTTGGTAGACACCCATTGTCTCGGCCTCTTGAAATTCCTATATGTTCCACAGGTCTCGAGCTACTTACAATCTCCTGAACTACAACTTGTTCTTGTATATCCTCCTCTCTCTGTGTGTCTGTCTTTCTGTCCCTGTCTGTGCCTGTGTCCCTGTCCCTGTCTCTCTCTCTTTGTTGTTGGTTTTTTGAGACAGGGTCTATGTAGCTGGCCTGAAACTCACAGAGATTCTCCGGCCTCAACCTTCTGATTGCTGGGATTACAGGAGTGTCCCACCAGCCCTGGCCCTTCTATCTTTCAAATATGCATCTAGCATCTCAGGTGGAATTCCTCATCCATATTTATTCTGGTCCTAATTTTTTTTTTTTTTTTAGACAAGGTCTTTATG